GGGGTTTTCTCCTCCGAGCCGCGGCTCGACGCCCCTGCTCGCCTGTGCTTTCCGGCATGCTTTGGCCTCGAAATGGATTGGAGAGCGCGCTGTTAAAAGTGCTGCGGCTGCAAGGCTGTACTTTGGCCGGGTGAAAGAAGGCTAGGAATAAACGAGGCAGTAGCAGGTAGCGAGTGTAAATATTAGCCGAAAGGGTATTTTGGCAAGGGAACAAAGCCTACGGGGTTTGAACTTCTGCGTGGGAAGACAGAATGTAATTCTGTAAAAGAGAGGGTTTGCCTGCTTATTTTGTGAATCTGCTATGTTCTCCTGTAATATTATTTCCTTGTATGGGTCTTTACTTTTTTGGGGGGGGAGGGATCTAAATACTTTAATGTAGGGAAGGACGTAGGCTGAAAGAGATCGAAGAGAGGTCATGGTTAAAGATCATTGTCTGGTAGACTTCGGTTTTGATTATGCTTTTTTTTTTTTTTCTCCTCTTTTTTGACTATATTGTTATAGTCACCCAAGTATCAGACATGCTTGAAGAGGGGGGAAAAAATCAAGCTGGAGGGATTTCAGGTAGCCCAGCGAGTCTTAATTGAGGAGCAGCAGATGAAATTCCGGGAGAAGGGAAGTTAAAGTTGACATTGAAGGATGTTTGTGCGAGGGGGAGCATTAATTTACTGTCAGACTGTGAAATAGTTTCTTTGGGGAAGTGGCTGTGATGCAACATCGCGCGAGTCGGTTGTAACTCGAACTGGTTCGAGACCATGCTGGCAGGCAGCGTGGAAAGGATAAAAGGCAGTTTCTAGCTCTATTCTAATAGACCTTTGTCTCATGAGTAACTGCGACTTAAGAGTTTCGTTTATTACTGCATCAGAGCTAAATAATGGTGATATGGTCCAAGAAGAGATGCTTGTCAAGTCATCTTAGTCATGGAAGGAAAATGAATGGTTATGTGTTAATTAGGCTACAAATAGGCTACAAATTGCACTGATTCAGAGATATGTATGTGTGTGTATACACACACATGTGTGTATGTACGTCTGTGTATATATATATGTATATGTATTTATAAATATATATATATATATGCAAACATACATTTTTCCCCTGGAAAAAATCTTTTGGGAAAGGGATCTTTTTATTTTCAAGTTTTAATGAGATATTTTAAGAGATGTTAGTTTTTTTCTTCCTGATTTTTTTCTTGTAATATTGCGTATTATGCAATGAAATAATAGGCCAGCTAAAATTTAGCTAAACAAAACGATTTTTACGCCCGGGCGGCTTTGGTTGCTTGCTTTTAAAAACTTGAGGCTGAGAACTGCCCTGAGATCCGTTTTTATGCTGTTATTTCTGAAGCTCGTCCTAAATGAAGAACTAGTTTGTATCTCAGTTTGGGATGTGTTTTAGAACAAAACCAAAAAAGTTGGTGAGGTTTGTTTTTTTTTTTCTTCCCCCAACCAGAATTGAAATCTAGTATTAGATGGGTGCTTTTATTTTTTGTTTTATTAGAAAGCATCCTGAGCATCTCTGAAGGGCTCGCTCTTGGCTCGGGGCCAGGAGGAGCTTTGCCGAGGGCGGCTGGGGAGAGGTTGACCTCCGGCAGGTGACAGATCCAGGTGGTGGCTCTCCGGTCTGCCTCCCTCTTGCTCTGCGAAGGAGCTTCCTGGAGTACATGGGCATGAAACGGAGCACTAGGAAACGTTTCCGGTTTGGCAGCTCTTAGTTTTAGAAGTCTGCTGTGTAACGTTTCCAAAAAGAAAAACAAAAAACCTCGACCACAGCAACAAAATCCCCCAAGACCTCCCTTTGTAGTCGTAACTCGTGCTTGATCTTAAGGACTCGACTCAAGGGTGTAAATATAGAACGAAAGCAGGTCGGTCAAGCGCTGCGGGAGCGTCTGTGTGGCGCTTCGAGGGCCGCTGGATTTCTAGGTAGCCTGGGTTATAGCGTGGAGCGCGCGCTGGTTCCCTTGCTCCCCGCCTCGGCGCCTTTAACAAAGCTCCGCTTTCAGGCCGGGCTTTCCTTCCTACGAGGATACCGGCCTTGGTTGTTTTTTCCCCTTTGCCCGTCAGTTTACTTGTCTCTCTGGTTTTAAGCGTATTGCAGTTCCCCTGTGACTGATGCTAGACGCTTTTATTAACTTCAGAGTTTGCAGCGGTAACGTGCTGTTGCAGAGCCTGGGAAATGCCAGAACGGAGGTTTGCAGGGTACAAATGCGTCTTGCAGCGGGTAAAAGGCCCTTAAATATTGGAACTGTTCTAACTTTGGCTGCTACGGTAAATCGGGTAGGTGCTCGATGTTATTTCTTTTCGCATATCTGTTGTTCTGAGTCATGTCCACCAGGCTGGTTATACTGCTTCTCCCATTATCTGGGGTGAAACGCTGCACTTAAGTTGTCGTACTCTTTTTAATAGCAGCCGCTTTCCAAACCCCGAGCGCGGGTCGGGATTGTCGAGGGAGACTCCTGCTCAAGTAAGAATTTCCTAGAAGTGCCAGCCTCTCCTTAGGCTGCAGTGGCCTTTCGGTTTAAAGAACTGTTTTTCCCCCCTCCCCAAGGTTTGAGGGTCTGCCCTATAAATAGCTGTGTTGGTCATAGCTTTCCCTAGGCTTGGGGGGTTCCCCGGCCTGGCTGGGTTTTCGAGTAACCGGGTTCTCCTAGCTCAGAAGATGGGTCTGTGTACCAGATTTTTGAGGAATTCTGACTTTGGTTTTGAAGCTTTTTGAAGAATGATGCACTACGCAAATTATAGTACTGATGAACTGAGGAAGCCCAGAAGGTTTCTGAGTTAGTGTATTTTTGTACTCCTTTGTCTTCCACTTTTTCTCCTCTGCGTGGAACCGGCTCTGCTACCTTGCCCTTGTCAGCACCCTTCTGTTTCACCTCTGGGCAAAATTATGTTGACCTGTAATGCTTCTGAAGGACTAACTGATATTTTGAATCTGAAGGGTTGGCAAGTCCTGCTACTTCTCCTGCCACCCCTTTCACTGGACTGATGTGTTTTCGTAGCATGGTGGTAAGAGCAAATGGGAGGATTTTGCTGGTTTTATTTGAATTTTTGGCAATTGTTTCTGGTTGCTGAAGACTGTTACTGCAGCTATCGGTACTGTATAGACTGATGTTCAGAAATGCCAGTTGTGACCCGCTAAGAGCAAAATTTCATGCTTTCAATATATGTCCTCAAACTGTACATTTTTGAAGTATTCCTTTTGCAGTATTAGGCACAACTTTCTCATTTGAAGTATTTGTCTTCAGAAAGTCAGATAGGTGTCATAATTAGCATTAACCACATTGAATAGGCTGATGGGACACTTCTCAGTATGCTTAACAACAGGTGACTTATTTTTCCTCATATTGCTGTTCACATCCTAATATATTAAAAAAAAAAAAAGAGAGAGAGAGAGAGAGAGTCCTCATATTTCATGCATTTCCTTTGCCAAAGATAGCAGATTTCAAGATCTAGCTTCACTTCTCCCACTAGAGAAGTAAATGATGTGCAGATTGGTGATTGCACTTTGTGATTGGTCATTGCCATGGTGGTAACTTCTCGGTTCCCTATGAATGCACTGAAACAGGGGCTGTCAAACAGCAGCACGGGTGTAAGCCTTCCTTCTGTCTCCCTTTGAGAAGTCGCTTGCAAGAGCAGAATTTGTAATTCTGTGTTTGCAGCACCTCCCTAAAAACGTAGCACTTTTCCAAACACTAGCATCACGATTGCGTGCGAAGAAAAAGTCGTGAAGTTTTGTGTGCAAAGTACAAGCTGCTACAGCCTCTCTGCTGTAAGATAGGAAATACATCTGGAAAAAAAGAAGGAATTTGCACCGTTCAGGATTGCTCTCTGTAGCAAGCTATAAAGCGATCAACAGATTGAGAACAGCAAAGTAAATTGGTGCATAAATCTTGCTATAGGCTACGTTTTTATTTCTGTCCTTGGGAGTGAAGCTAGCTGAAATTCAGTGGCATCAGATGAAAAGACAAATTTATTGTTCAATCCGAGGTCAACAACACGAACTGTACAAAGGTTTCTGTTGCTAGAATATTTCATGGAAGGGGACTGAAGGCAGTTGAGCTGAACTTGAGCAGTGACTTTGATCCAAGAGGCGGACTGGCCAAGAGGCCTTTCTTATTCTGGTCTGAATATACTGCAGGTCACTGGGGCTATAAACCTTCCAAGAGAAGTGCAAAACTAAGTCCGTGAACCAGACTATCTGTAGTGTTGAACTTTTGACTTTCTAGTAGTTACAGCCGGGGAGAAGTCAGCTTTGCTACGAAAGAAATGTTCCACGCATGTGAGCATTGGCAAATACCTAGACTCTGAAGAGATTGTTTAGATAGCAATCTAGAATGGAAACAAAAAATGGTGTACAGCCCTGCTCTGTCCTCTCCTGAGAAAAAATTCAGATGCTAAGAAATAAGAGGCGGGAACTTTGAGTCCAGGAAATTTTGCGCAACTGCCTGTCCCTGTTTGTGGCTCTTGGTGAACATGCACCACTTTCAGCCGATCAAGCACACGTGGAACCTGATTTTGGCAAGAGGGCAAGGCTGTGCAATGCTTTTCCTGTCCCTTAAGTAAAATAAGAACAAGAACCTATAAATATGACTTCACCAGAAAGCACAGTAGACGTGCAGTAACTTCCACAGGGACACGCAAAGGAGAAATGAGAGTCTCTCGCTACTAACGCAGCGCTGTGTCAGTAAGCTGTATTCTCAGTGACTCTAAAGATAACGCGGCCAAGTTTCTCACTCGCTGTGTTTGTGATGTTTCAGCTGAACGACAGCGGCAAGGCAGCCCGAGCGCACGTGGGCATAGGCGATGTGGTTCTCACCATTGACGGCATAAGTACAGATGGGATGACTCATCTGGAAGCACAAAACAAGATCAAGGCGTGTACAGGCAATTTGAACATGACTCTGCAAAGGTAAGATACCATTTGCTTTAATAATAGTAGTAATAAAAAAAAAAATTAATCGTTGTCGTAACAGTTGCTTGGAGGATAAAAACATGTTAAGTGGTTTGGCAAAGTGCATGAAGTTAAGTGGCCGTGTGAAAGACAGGCTGTTGCCGTCTGAAATGTGTCTTGATTTATAGCATTTTAGAAAACTTATTAGGAGTTAATTATATGAGTGGATAAAGACCTCTTCCAACCTTCTGTCACCTAGTCTACAATATCTGAATTCTAGTTCCTCCTCCTTCTTGAGCTTCAGGTTTGTTAAGTGTTTTAATTAAAAACAGGCCTGAACCAGGCTCTCCCTGCTCTCTTCCTCTCCCCCCCCCCTGCCACTAGTTCCCACCATTGACTGGGAACACTTCTTTTTGAGGGTCGTGTCCTACGTCATCATTTTTGTTCCCAAAACTCCCCTTGCTCCTTTACATCTGGCTACCATAGTAAGTCTTATTCAGTGCCCTTCTGAATGTCCAGCAGCCAAAATAACAGCAAGAGCTGGCTGATCAGGGTGTGGGGTGGTTTTTTTGTCATTTTTCCCCCACCCCTTCTCCTTTCTAAGCCAGGCAGTCTTGTATGCTGCTGTTCAGTAGGGCTAGCTGACACAAGTGGCCAGAAGTTCATCAGTCGGTCTACACTAATGGGTTTACCGTTGTTGGCACCTGTGGAGAGAGTTTTGAAAAGCAGGAGTGCGTGTCATATTCCAGCCTGACCAGTGCTTGCTAAGAAAGTGTCAAGCGTCAAGCAAATCCTGTCAGTCTGTGGATGTATGTTTGAGAGAGGTGTGCAATATTTTTGCTTGTATTTCCTTTCTGAAGTTGGAAGAGCAGCAGCGCAAGCAAGAATTCCTTTAAACTCTTAAAAGTCTCCTAGGGCAAAATATTGGCTTTTATTAGAAGATTGCTGTTTTCATTCAGTGATGTGAGCGAGTGTCTCGGAGGAAGATCAGCCCCTGAAGTCATCGCATAATGAGAACCAGCTTTTCTTGTTATCAAAAAATAATAATAATAAAAAATAACGGGTCCTTTCACTGACTGCAAAATTGCCCCGTTGTACTGATGTACCTTGGTTCTTAGTGACCCCTCAAAAGTGACTCCCCTTGCTCAGCCTCTGGGGAAAGGAGCGTCTTGTGGAGCAGTTCATGCCCCGGGCCGTTTCCTTAGGTGAAACTTAAAAAGTTGATCTTAAAATTTTCTCGATGAAACAAGGGTAGCTCATCCGAAGAATCGCAGATTTTATCTAGCGTGCCAGCTGATCTCCTGTCCCTCAACAGGGCATTCAGGGCGTTGAGCACGGCGCTTTCCAGGTGCCCGCTGAGTCACTCCTCCAGGCAGCTGTGAAGGTCAGGGTTTGGCCTGTTTTCTCCCATCAGTATAAATGGATGGGCTGGGTTGGCATCTGATAGAGGAAAGGAATAACAGGTGTGCCTCCTTCAGGCAATGACTTGTCTGAAGTTGCTTCTGGTTGGGTGCTGGGCTGGCTGCTCGGTGGTTTCAAATCCCAAGGAACAATGTGCTTGTCCAGTCCCCTCCGGTTCCCACCCTTCCCACCCCACGCAGGATCTGACTCATCGGCGTCTGCTACCTGGTAGCCGAGAGCTGAAGTCATCTCGCCGCAGGATCAGGCTAGCCACGATCAAAGAAACAACCTCCGTCCCGGCATCCGTGGGTGGGACAGATGTCCTGTCCCGAGGCTGTGCCAGGCTGTGGTCTCCTGCTCTCCAGCTGTTTCTAATTCTCCCTGAACCCTACAAAACCCAAGCTTAGGCAGTGCTCTCCTGGCTCCTCTGCCTGTGAAAGCCGCCTTGCTCTCATTGCTGCTCGGCAGGAGATTTGCCTTGCTTGCTTGTTTATTGTTTTTGGCCCGGGAGAAAGTGCTTCTCAGGATCGGATTGGCTCGTGCTGGCCGCAGATACTAGCTGCCCCGGGGAAGGACGTCCCAAGACTATACGTGGGGTGGAGGCAAGATACGCCGTTTTCATATTCGGGGATTTCCATAATTAAATTCTTCTGCTCCTGCCTCTTCTCCCAAAGCAAAACAAACGAAGTAAGATATTTTGAGCCCTTATTGTTCACATGCAAGATTAAAGAGATGTTGTTGATGTGAAAGAATGCGGGCCTTTAAAATATGAGTTGATGACATAGATAGGAAAATCTAAGATGCATCTAAATTTTTCACTGCTTTTAATGATCTTTAGGGTTTTTTTTTTGCACCGTCCTTGAGCTTTTATTTACTTCTACACAGACCCCTTAGTTTGAACTACAGTGCAAGAGTGCTGAGGTTAGTCTTAAAAGTGTATATGAATTTGTAGATACTGTCCTGCTATACTGCTGTTTCAAAAGAAACCAATGATCAATGTGTCAATTTTTGAGGACCAAGAAAACTGGAAGGACGTTATGGCTTTAGCTAATGGCTTTTGCACTGTGAGCACGTCCACGTGCTTGCTGTTTTATGGAAGCAATTAAGCAAGCTGAAAGAATTCAGCTGAAAGTAGTCAGAGGAACAAAAATGTATTTTGTTTTTCAATTCCATACGTATTTGATGGTAACACTGAGTAATCTTTATTTGTGATTTAAAAAAAAGTCAAGTACTGCGTACTCAGACGAGAGGGGGAGTACTCTGTGATCAGCTTACTGTAGGTGTTGTACCACAAGTTGGTAAGCTTCTGCACTGCTGGTCCGATTTGCATTTGGTTTTTTCCCCCCTGTGCTTTAAGCTCTAGGTGGAAGAAATAAACTGAGAAACCAAATAAGGTGCAGGTAGCAGCTTGCCTGGGAGGTTGGGGGGGATATTTAAAGCAATGCTTTCAAAGGCTTTATTTACAGTTTTAAAGGAATATGTTTGTGGAGGCCAGTGTGCCCGGCCCCTCCTGTGGAAAACCAATTTAGATGTTTTGTAACTTGCCCGTGAACGCTGACAAAATATTCGAAAGGAGAAGAAAAGCTGCTTTTTTCCTCCTTAAGGCAATATAGCCTGTTGGTTGTTTAAATAGGCAGTTGTTCCCTGTGGCTGGCAGGAACTGGAGTTACAGCTGTCACAACTGAAAGGCCACCTTGCCTGGAGGCTGCTTCGATACAGAGATGTGAACTTGTGTTGCCAGCTGCCTACAGTAGTAGGTGCCTAACATCTGCGTGCGTTGGGAAGTATTTTCAGGTGTATGTTTCTAATATTAGTTAGTTCTTTACACAAGTCCCACTCTTTGGTTTGAAGGTTGCGTTGTAAAAGTTGAAAGTTAAAATGATAGTTTTAGTGTTTTACATGCTCACTTTTCGTATAAGATGTAGCTTAAAAATCTGTGGGGGTTGGGTGGTGAGCCTTTTTTTGTTGCTTTGTTTTGTTTTTTGTTTTTTTGGTAACGTGCTGTTTTAGTTTCCTGAATATTTGTTAACGTTAAACGCGTTTCGTAGTTCTTTATGTTCTTTATGGTAGATGTCCCTCCCTGCATGAGCTCTTGCTCTTTTGCACCCCAGTACTTTATTTTTCAGTTAAGGCCCTTTCCTGGCTCCCATGAGGGCAGATGGAAGCCAGATGCTTGCTTTTTGGACATGATTCCAGCTTCAGTAACTTAGCGTGGACTTCCATAAATATGTCTGTAAGTCACTGATTTGTGAAGAACCACCACCTATCTTACATATTGTTTGGGGAGGGGAGGAGGAACTGTTCCTCTGCAGTCCTGCCTTAATGACTCTTTGCCTGTCAGAAAGATGAAGATCTTGGATTTTTACTTTTACGTGAGGTCATGGTACCCATGAAACTTCTGGAAAGTGCGTTAATGGGAAATGCAGAGATTAAGAAAACAAAACAGTACAGAAAAGCCTGCGAAGTTGTGGGTTGGGGTTTTTTTTTTGTTTTGTTTCTCCCTTGGCTTTTGTAATAGAGAACTAACTTAACGCTCCAGCTGGTCACACCAACCTGTACCACTGTAGTGTGAAAATGGTGCCGTTCTTAAGAGGAATTTCTTTCAGCTCTTGGTAAGAACTTTATCCCTCGGTACTCCAGACAAAACACGCCAGGATCACTCACACTGGGACTTGAAAGGGGGGTTCACAAGGTTATTGAGCCTTATTGACTATACGAGGTACTTCCGAAATCATTTTGGGCGCCGCAGATCAGCGGCACCGAATGGCTGCCGGAATTCTGCTGCCACCTCTGCAGCGGACAAACTCATGGATTTCTGTGGTTGACTGCGTGTGTTGCAAAGTAACTGATGGATTTCAGTGACTTACTGTTTTGTACTCTTCTTTAGTTGAGTTTTTTGGTTGTTTTTTGCTTGCTTGCTTATTTATTTTTAAATTACAAGGCTGTTAGTGTCTCAGGCGAGGCTAGAACCTGCTGGATATTTTTCATTTGGACTTGAGGAGCCAAAATTTGCGTGAAACTTAGGGGTCAGCACCGCAGTTGATAAATTTAAAACCGAGTGTTAAAAAGCGTGAGTCAGCATTTATTTATTTATTATCTTGCCTGTCTTCCTGAGTCTGAATCTTTATCATACCCTTCCCTCATCTTTTAAATTTCTCATTCAGGAAACATGAAGTCTAGACGCTTCTTAAAATGCAGCTGAAAGTCTCATGGTTTGAGGTGGAGTAATAAGGGGGAAAAAATGTTATGGATCATTTGATTTCCATTTTCTAAGGTCATTTTTCAGGTTTTCCATTTCAGAAAGTTTTGTCTGCAGAAAGACTGACTCAGTATGCTTTTTACTTACTGTTATTGTTCTCAGGCTTTTATTAGATAATAATAAAATTAGATTACGTTGAGTCGGCTTGGCAAATACACAGGAAGAAGAGCTGCACAACACAGTACAGGAAAAAATGGATGATGTTGCCTCTATTTGGAAGATGGGGAAGTGAGGTAGACCAGCTTTGAAGAGGCTTTTGAGTCTTTACTCCTTTAGATGTCAAAATATTCTCAGAATTTAGGTTGGCTAGAAAGTACTTCACCTTGCAAAAATACACGCCAGCAGCGCAGGGAATGGC